ASAMMRKCTAACTATACCAAAACTCCCTAAACATCTGGCCGCTCATTAATATCATGCAAAGATAAATTTATTCTGCTTCATAACTTGCTCATAACTTTTCATATATGGAAGAGATASCATCGATGAATTAAAATGTGTCGACTGACCTTGTAAACAATAAATACATTGTCTACAAAAGGCAAAGACATACTTCCTGTCCAATAGTATCATTATCGATGCTGTCAGACAGATGATATATATTACAAAAAGACTAGTAGAAAACTGAGTTTTACAAAATCTCATGCCTTTTTTTTATGTCATTTAACAAAAGCATCCTTTATTTTTCGAGAAAACTAATAATCCAAAATTTTAATTATAACTAAAATAAAGATAATAAAAACAAAAATACACAGCGAAAAAAGTTACTTAATTTGTATCTTTCTAAGCCAAAAAAAAAAACAAATTTCACAAACAATTCTTGCTAGAAGTCATATAACAGTTTGTGTACAAAAAAAGCAGAAGTTTTACTAGTCAATGACTATTTGACTTGATTGTTCAAAAAGGCTTTTTTAACTAGTCTTCTAACGCGCATCAAATTTTCAGTGGTTTTGTTTAATTTCTTCAGTGTTAACAAATTTCGCTCAAYCTCGGTAACCACTGAAAATCAAGGATAGAGCCTGAGAAAGACCCGATAAATGCAATATTTATGTTTTAAAATGAAACTGCAAGAGCTAATTGCCTGACTTTTTTGCGAATMATTTGGTTAATTTACTTGCAGCTGTTCCAGAATTCYCTTTAATTAAAAACATCCATGTATAYTATCAAGAGGACGAATTGATCTTATTTACTCCGCAAAAGTAGAACGTTTTAAATTTTCAAATGTTACAAACCTTTTCTGATTGCTTTGAGCTGTAAGCAGATTAGTTAAAATTGATGACGAGATAAGGAAAGAGCGACTTTTTTGTGAAAAAGCGCGGTTTTTGGGGCAGAAGTTTAACCAAATTAAAAAGATAAAAATGAAGAAAGATAAATGTAGTTACTGCGCTTTGAGGGTTGTTAACATGAGCTTAAGTGGCCCTTGAAGACTAATATCATTTTTTTTAAATCCCCCAGGGAAAAAGAAAACAAATAAGTCTTACTACCTAGGGGAGTATCTCACCAAAACAGCCCCTTAGAACTAAAGATRTCTCGACAACATTGCCTTTTTAAGTTTCAAGTGTAATAGTAACTTGGCAAAACTCCCCTAAACTAGCTCGATGCTAACATTTGCTGTACAGTTTGTAACTATAATGCTTGTACTTATAATCATTTCACTTCTTCAGGAAATAAGTTAAAAATAACCCTGCAATAATACATACCTACCGCAAACAAGAAGTCTTGCTTAAACACTTAAACACTTAGACCTTACCTGTCTAGCATATTGAAAAGTCCATATTCAAAGAGTCTTACAAATGTGTGTTTAAAATACGCCCGCAGAATTTACGAACATTAATAAATGCTCAGCAAATAGGAATCTTTTGAAAGTGACAGATTAGGCAGATTGAATGCCAAATAATACTAGTTTGTTTAAATAAGAAGCTTTATCTATTATTTATATGATAGACTATTGAAATCTTTTACAAAGAAACCAAARGCTGGTTTTCATAGATTGGTTTTCATTTGATCGTGCTATGAAAATGATTATTTGACTTTGCATTTGTCGGGATAGAACAAAAGAAAACAAAAGATTAAGTGTGTAATACCAAGTTTTAGTCTCGCCAATCAGTTTCGCAGTCAAATTAAAACGATTCCGCGAAAAAAGTGTAATAGCTAAAATGTAATAATGCGCGGTACAAGAAAAAAAAGGTTGCCCTATTAAGATTAAGAAATTGTAGTGCGCTAAACTGTGTTTCACGTGTTTATGGGACAACTCCATAAGCCCGTGAAAATATCTAATGGTACATTTGAACGATTTTGTCCACTGACTGAGTCCTTTTCAAAAGGACTCTAACGTCTTAGTTGTTTTGCTTTGTTTTGATTCTAATTTACGGAAATTCGATGATAGCCTTCTCAACCCGTGAAAAAAAGACAAAAACCCGCGAAACAAAGTGTAATAAAGCGAAATTCCTCTGTTTTGAAGAGGAAAAAAACAACACAAAAAAACTCGCACAATAAAGAGCCAAAATAGTGCTGTTTCACGGGTTTAATTAGAAAAACCACTTAAGCTATCGTTAGGGTTGAGGACTAAGTGACTTGTCATTTTTGTGTATTTAGTTTTAAGCATTCCTGCTTGATTGTTTGTTTATCTGTATTTAATTTGAGGAATCTTGATTCCCGTCCAAACAAGAAATGATGAATCATTATAATTTATCACTATCGAAACGCCAAAAATTGCAGGTTTGACGAMCTAGGTGTTCGRGATGATATTGGATGAAGTATGAAAAATATTAGAAGGCGTTTGACCACCATGAAATATATCTAATGATTCAAACTTAAATATTTGGCAACCCAACAATATTAGTCATAATTTCTATTTTTGCATGAGTTTCTCTCTCATAAAACATCGGAAAAACAATGTCCGATCGTTTTGGTCAGATCGCTAGTAAACCAAACGATGCTAAACCACTA